GCTGAAATTTTTGGTGCATTTTCTGTATAACAGTAAAAGTGTTTCAACCTTCAGATTTATCAATCACAGTTTTATTTCAAAATTTACAGTCCTTTATGTGAATATAATAACTGTTTTTTAAGTAATTTCATGTATTCACTAAGCTAAAGTGCTCTAGTTTTTGTAAAAATTTAAATATCTCTTATCCTGAAGGTCATTTCAAACATGCATAACAAAGTAATACATCAAAATTGAAAAATTGAGAATTTGTTCATAAAATTTTTGTACAGACCGGACCCCGTTTATGTAATTTTTTGTACATTTTTACCAGTTTTTTTCCATTTTAATAATAATATTTTTTTTCTGTTTTCAACTTTAGGATTTTTTTTCTTAAAATAAACTGAATAAATATAAAAATCTCCATATCTCCATTTTTTTTATAACAAAAAGCTCTCACAAGTAATCGGAGACCTTAAATACGTTGTAAATATTGTCGTGTATCAAATTGTCTTTAAACAAGGTAGTATTTAAAACACTTTACAAATCATTTACATAATTTTTCTGTTTGTAGGAATGCAAGAACAGAAGAGTCTCGAAAACTTGTCACTCGATAACCCGGCAGTCCAGATAACTCGACCACACCTTGGCAGGTCGAAAACATGCAAAACGCAAGAGTGCAGAAGGGAAGACAACATGACTTTACTCGTTTTTTTAAAAGTTGCCAGATTTTCCAAAGTTAACTACTTAATTTTCATTGTAGACAGCTTTATACCTTCACAAAGTATTTTTCTGAGGTATGTCTGATAAGGTAAATTACTGAAGACTATGTATTCATTGTAGTATGTCGATAAAGGAGTACCAAGCTTGTCTGGGGACTTAAACACTGGGGGTCTCGTTTCAGAATGACCACCTAAGAGGGACATCTGCACCTTAGTGTCCAATAGTCCCGTATACTGGGATGGGCACAGTAGGCCCTGTCCTTCATGGGCTGTTGCGCCACTGAGATTGAGTTTGAGTATGTATTCATTAATTTTCGTTTTCATGTAATAAATGCTCCATGCCAGGGGTGTCCAACACGCGGCTCGCTAGTACGTAAGTTGCGGCCCATCGACTCTTTTTTTAAAAAAATTTAACTATCAGCTTTTTAAAGTTTTTTCATGTTGAAATTTATTTGAGGGGAAATTATATATACACTGCTGGCCACCGTAAATGCAACACTCTGAAGGAAGCATGCAAATAACATGAAATTTACAACATGCATTTGCGGAGGTGAGATATGCAAATGATTAGAATTTCAGCGCAGACACGCATCACGCACGCCTGTGGCGCCACCTCAAAGTGCTATTTAAGGCTTGGAGATTTCGACGATTTCAAATTCGGCAATTGTGTTTTTCATGTGGTTTTTTCAAAAAACGATCAGTTATGTCTCGTAGAAAACAGCGATCAGCTTTTGATCAAAAATCCGAGTTCGACAGAGAAAGGACAGTGGCCTACCGAGATTGTGGATTATCTTTAGAGAAATCGGTAGTCGTGTTGGACGAAACAAAACAACTGTAATGCGGATATGTAACATTTAGATGCAGGAGGGTACGACGGACCGACGTGGCCGATCGCATCCACCTCAGCGCACCACTTCACGTGAGGACAGGCAAATTGTGCACATGGAAGTGACGGATCACTCAGTCACATCACGAACCATAGCACAGCACATTGAGTCTGTAACGAATCATTCAGTGTCTGCGCGTACCATTCGACGCCGTTTACAGCAGAGTGGTCTGTTCGCAAGACGTCCATTGTTTGGTCTACCCTTGAGGCAGAACCACAAACGTCTCCGCCGCCAATGGTGTGATGAAAGAAGGATGTGGGCGGCAGAATGAAATGAAGTTGTCCTTACTGACGAGTCACGCATCTGTCTGCAACACCACGATGGTCGGATTCGAGTCTGGAGACACCGTGGAGAGAGGATGCTGAACAGCTGCGTTATGCACCGCCACACTGGTCCTGCACCGGGTATTATGATAAAGGGCGGTATTGGATATCCCTCTCACACATCCTCTAGTACGCACTGCCGGTACTTTAAACAGCCAGCGCTACATCTCCAAGGTGCTGGAGCCAGTTGTCCTTCCACACAGCCACATTTCAACAGGATAATGCGCGACCACACGTGGCACGCATTTGCCAATGATTCTTCGTCAATCACCCGATTGAATTGCTTCTCTGGCCGGCTCGCTCTCCGGATCTTTCACCGATAGAAAACATGTGATCGATGGTTGCTCAACGATTGACCCAGATTGCACCCCCAGCTGCCACACCAGATCAACTTTGGCAACGTGTGGAAGCTGCTTGGTCTGCTGTACCCCAAGAACATATCCATAGTCTCTTTGAATCAATGCCGAGACGTGTGGCAGCGGTGATCTCCAACAATGGCGGCTACTCTGGCTACTGATTCTGGCAGGAACCACACTTCACAGAAGTCTATAAATTTAATCATTTGATACTTGGTCAACATGTTGTCTACAAAATAAATTTTGTTGTGCTATCTCTCGTCTTTCTTGGTGTTGCAATCACGGTGGCCAGCAGTGTAGATATATAATATCGACAATGTATTTGCCTGTTACCTATTCTTGTTTCAAAATAAATCCTTTTTGATAATAGAAATGTCCTTTATATTAGATTTATATTTTATCAAACAGTTAAATTTGATTTTACTATAATAAATTACTTTTTTAATAAATTCCGAATTCCATTATGCATATCCTTTACAATGAATGATACATGATTGATTCTCTATGTGTGCAACTTTCATTTCTCCTCCTCCTTTTCTGTTTGGATTGCCAAAAAAGCAAAAGGGAATCAGATGTTTTTTTAAAATAAAATATTCAGGACGGTTAAGATAAAGGGCAATGTATACTTAATCATTTGCGAATGACAGTACAATCATATTTCAACAATGAGTAACGAAAGATCAATTTAAAAGGAACACCGCAATTTTCAAGAAAATGGCAACACTGTAATATTTTAAACATTATTTGATCATTGCATTATTATATTATTTATGTCTGTATACGAGAAAAATAATGAAAACAATAATAATAGTTCATTCTGTTTTGAATTTTCATTTGAATAAATGTTTTTTTGTTTCCAAATCTGATATAAAGGTACATATTTTTATGTGCTCCCCGCGAGTTTATAATGTTTTTTCGAAGTGACCCGCAAAGTCATTTGGGTTGAACACCCCTGCTCTATGCCATCATAATGTATGCACTTTTCCTTTGTTTCAGGGGGCAGTTTATTTTCAGCTGTATTCCCTCTCAAACAATACGTTCATACAGGGGCATAACGGAGAATATTAGGGTCCTCGTGCAGAGTTAGGTTTTGTGTCCCAAACCAGATCTTACAAAGGGTGCGTACAAGACATCAGTCAAACTTTGGGCCCCCTAGAGTCCTGGCTCGATTCCACAATGCTGGGGTGTACGTAACGCCATTGCATACAAAAGTGCAGTTCAATATTTTCCGAGGAAGCACTCGAACTTATTCTCGTAGAATTCTTGGTAACTTTGATTCATAGCATAGTACTCTTAAATCTCTGAAATAAAATCATAAAATAATCAATGTCAATAACCGGACAAAAGTATTCAAACGTAGCAACAAGTTTGGGACAGAGGGAGTAATAAACTAACTTCACTAAGTTCATATTCCATAAAATATCATCCACAGTTCCAATTTTTTTTAAATTACTAATTTTTTTTAAAGTGCATTTTGTTACTTTTGAACACCTCCATAGATTTTAAAGAAAACAAATTTGGAAGCATAAAAAAATTGTAGGTTTCCAAAAAAGGTCAAATTTATAATAAAAATTCTAAAAATGCGAACACATAGTAATCCGATCCACATTTCATGGTGTCACAGATGCCTATATACTTGCAGAATAGCAACAAATAAAATAAATAATTTTAAAAATGTCGAACAAGAAAGTGATGAGTTCGCGGCACGATCAGACAGCCGTCAAATGCATCATTTGTGTGTGTGCGGTTTTTTTTTTTATCTATTCTGAATCCAGTACTGAAAGGAACAATGAATTTTGCCTCGTGTTTTATTGTAATTAATTTATTTGTAGATTCGCTTAACATAATGAAAGTCAAATAGAAAATTCTGCATTAAAAAGTAAATAATTTACAAAGAAAATAAATTATTTTAGAAGTGAAATAAGTGGCATCACAAAAAAAATATTTACAACAGATTAAAGTTTCCATAGTTTAAAAATAAAAATTTAATTCATTTATTGAGAATAATCATTACAAAATACAAAAAACGTTCAACAATTTCGACTTTACATATTTTGCGAACAAAATTTACAGGAGAATGTTTCGGAAAACCGAATACTTATATCCTAATCATATTCATATTGACATTCAAATTTTCGTTCAGTTGAATGCAACACATCATGGAATATTTCATTTAATAAAATTCAAGAAGAAAATAAGCATATTACAACGTTTTTTTTTTTATCTATTCTGATCCATTGCACTTTTCATATATTGGGGATTTTTTGCGTGATGTGACATATAAACAATACAAGCAATTATAAGTTCAGAATTTCTAATATAACAAATAATATAAAAAAATTAAATCAATTCCGATACTAAAGTGAACAAAGAAAAATTTTATTTTAGTTACTGTTTATTAAATAATTAAAATTAATATATTCTAAATATGTATATTCAAATGACAGAATCACAATATTAAGTGACAAAATAAAAAGCGATCTGCCATTCTATAATATGGTGTTGGACTATTATTTTTGTTTGCTACTATTTATTCATTCATAAATCACATTTTTAGAAATTAGGCCGTCCCGGGTAGGATTCGAGCCCACAATCTTTGGATTAGAAGTCCAACGCGCTATCCTTTGCGCTACAGGGACATAAGGAGCGATTTTTCCTTTTTATATAAGGTGTTGGACTATTATTTTTGTTTGCTACTATTTATTCATTCATAAATCACATTTTTAGAAATTAGGCCGTCCCGGGTAGGATTCGAGCCCACAATCTTTGGATTAGAAGTCCAACGCGCTATTCCTTTGCGCTACAGGGACATAAGGAGCAATTTTTCCTTTTTATATAAGGTGTTGGACTATTATTTTTGTTTGTTACTATTTATTCATTAATTAAGTTTAACTAATGAATCCATATTTGAAAAAGCTTTATTAACATCATTATAAGTTTTAAAAAATTTATTTGAGCTTGAATGGATGAATATAGAAAGTATTTATTAACGATTGAAAATTTCAACAAGATATATATAAATATATATAGGGAGACAGAGGACTAATAGTATGAATTGAAAATGAATTGTATTTAAAATAATTATATTCTTAACCTTAAGATGGATTGGAATAAAATTAGTATTAAATAGATAAACATTTCTTAACCTGTGGATTGGTACGTCTCGACTTATCTAGAATCTGCTCCATCAAAAATAAACATGGTGAAGTTATAAATCTTTTAAACAACAATGAAACCGGTATTTGCATCTCATGGCTCTCGTATAAATTCATAATTTAGCATCATACGAGACAAATATCATCAAATCCCTTTGGTGAGAATAAGCTGAACTCTATATGTTTTGCTCATTTCCTTAGTTATTCTTTCTCTTGATGGGAGGTCGCCGTTCCCCTAAGTTACAACTGCAGTTTTTACATTTGCCCTTTTTACAGGAAACGGAATTTTGTGGAAGGAATGCGTTGTTTTGCCCCACCTCTGTAAACAAACTTTTAAGGGTGCATACGTTCTCACGCCCGCAAGGTCCATTAGACCCATAAATAATTCGGGTGCGTCGGAGGACTTTCCCGCGCTTAAAAATGTCATTGACCGTTGCGCGGTAACCTTGCGCTGACTCCGGACCAATCAAAAGAAATTAAGCGGACCAGGTAAAGAATCCGCTCTAGGATTTAGGAGAAAATAGGCGCCAAATAAAAACGGGATGCACCCCGATTTTCGACACTCTCTCACACATTCACACTTGAGACTCTGAGCTACAATCTCAATCCAGGCCTTGAACTGGACTCCGCGGGACTCCGGGTGGCGACCATGATTCACTCCCTTTTACCAGACTCCCTCTTTCAAAGCTAAGTAGAATTTTGTTATAACCATTTGTACATTTACTTAAAATTAATCAAGATAACCATTAAATAAATTAAGTGTTAATTTAAAGAACGGCTTTTTAATTTAGTGTACTGTTTTATTGTTTTTAGAGGATTTAGTGTTTAATTTTTAACTCAAGCTATGATGCGATGTGATAGTCAACCTGGGTATTATAAAATGGGTATAATGGAATTAATTAATTAAATAAAATTAAATGCAGCGTCGCATCACTCTTAAATAGATAAATGTTTGTAAAATGAGAAATTGAGAATAAGACCGACCATATCATGTGACAGGGGTCTCTATTGAAATCCAGGTTTTGTATTGTTGCAAATTTGAATGTGCGGGGGAGGGGGGGATAGCCGACGGTTCCAATTATTGGATTAATTGCAGATTTATAAGTAAACAAGGACGAACAGATAACTACACAATGACTAATCAACATATATGGCGCAGGAAAATGATGAAATTAGGAATTTCATCCAATCCCTAAGGGATATGATCTATTGACGTTAGATGTTAAAATAACGTCTCTTCGAGGTCATTTCCCTGATAAAAGTAAGAGATTTGAACAAGTCCCTGATTTGTTTCAGTGAAATGATGAAATAATATTGTAAAGAATTTGAAAGTGTCGCTTTAACAAATATGGTGCATTATTAAACGTAGAAGTAAGTAATACAACAATAGTGAATGAAATACAAATTATTTATTCGAACCTAATTAACAAATAATTAGAAAATTAGGCATGTATTTTTTTATACGTAACATCTTTCCTCTCGGTTACTTATACACTAAAATATCAATCCCTATGTTAATCCTATGGTGCCATTTTCTTAAAGATATGGGGTTGATATTTAAGGGATCTATAGTACTACCTGTATGGTTAGGAAGTACAAGGACTCAACCCCCCTCCCCCAGGTGTTCCCCCCCTGAACAACATTTTGCAAATGCAACTCCTGACTAGTTCATCATTTCACTGAATCAATTCAGGGGTTTGATAAAATCACTTGCTTTCATCAGGAAAATGACCTCGAAGAGAGAGAAATGTTATTTTAACATCTCCCGTCAACTGATCCTATCCCTTGAGGATTTGATGAAATTCCTAATTTCGTCATTTCCCTGTGACATATATACACAAAGAAATATTATATAACAGGTTATTTATAATAGATAAAAATGTACTCGTAATAAACAAGCTGTACAACGTTCCAGAAACGACTCTAAACCAGAGGTCACCAAAGTGGTGGTCCGAGAGCAAACTTTGTTGGTCTCCAGAAAAATGTGAATTATACTTACTCATCACGTTAAGATGTTTTAAGATGCATTGAAACATAATTCAATTCATAACACAACGTGAAAAATTACAAAAACACTACTTCATAGAATAACGCTACGGTAAATAAATCATGCTGCAGTAGCTGCAGTGTTTTAGCTACATGCTTTGTCTCGTCTCGCACTCTTCTAATGTTTCACTCTCCTATATGTCGCATATGTGTATCAGTTGAAGCATTTAAAGATGGGCTTACGGATGTATTGAGTTGAATATAAAATAGATTCCTTATATTAGTCACGTTATTAAGAAAGCTTTTGTGTATTTTCTTTTGTATATTGGTGTTTTTTAAAACAGGTATGATCTTAAATCTTAACCACGTGCGTATTTTCTTATATTTGATATTTATTGGGATAAAATTAGTTCCACTATTCTATTTTTCTTCTCTTTTTTTTTTATTTTAGATTCAAATAACCATAATGAGTGAAAAAAAAGCAAAAGAATATTCTGCATTTCTTTAGACTTTTTTTTTCTTTAATAATAATCATAATTTGGTTACAACTAATGGTTTCATTTTATTAACTAGGTATATCTTATGGGTTCTTAGATCACAATTTTTAAAAAAAAATCCTATTAGTGGTCCAAGGAATTTAAATTATTAATTTGCTGGTTCGTGAGGTCTAAAAGTTTGGCTACAGCTGCTCTAAACAGTTCCAGTACCAGAAATTCAGACAAATAGTCTCTCACGTATCGCAGTCAACGTATAAAACTGAACTCTTCTGCGGGAATTTATTCGGGCACCTGGGTTCGAAGAACCCTTAATCCCGTATCTGGCAAAAGTATCTTTAATGACATGGCTGATCGTTGAGTTTTCATGTTTGGTAGTAGATCATTGCAATTGGACGAGCGGCGGCAGGCCAGTAGGCGGAGCTTCGAGGCATGGATCTTGACATCTCGGAAAGTTTTCAGTGAGGAATCTGAGCGGAAGAGTGAGTCATCCTATTGGCTGTTGAAAAGTGAGGATAATGGCTCAGGAAAAATGGCTGCCCATGTGGGGGGGGGGAGTCTGAACTTCACCGACCTTTATAGAGTCTCATGGAAATTTCTAGAAGGGTTGCCTCTAAGCTCTTTCTTCAGGATTCCTTGGCGATATCATATTTTTACCAAACTTGTCGCCAGTCTGGTATCCCAGGTCGCATTGACAATAGCTGCCATAATTTTATTCAAGTTTACGTGCTGGGAAACGAACTTTGCCTGTAAAACTCAATTTTCCTCTAACGAGAATGTTGTCGCAGGAAAAACAATATACGTGGCGTGTTTCGATTTCTCGATTATTCCAGGGGAGCACGAAGAATAAGTTTACATGAAACTTCATAAGAAATAAACGCAATGGAAATTGTACTATGTGAATACTTTGGATTAAAAGCTGAGTGTGAGTTTTGATATTTATTTTCTTACATCTTTTCAACATTTGTTATTTAAATACTATACAATTGTAGACCAGATACATGATATGCTCTAATTGATCTAAAAATCAAAAACAAAGCAATGAGTTTGAGGAAACCTGATTTAAACGAGAACACTCACACATATGAAGAAAATTATAGCTGAATGAAGTAATTTAAATAAATAGGGACAATTTATACACAGATATTTGTAATTTATAGTGCTGGTGTAGAACAAATATCTTCGTGTGCGATCTTTCAAATTTGCACAAAATAATTACTGTAAAATCCGGCGTATATCGCTCACCTATACTTTCAAGCTGCAATTTTTAATTGTTGGGTATATTCACCGTATTACGTACACCCAGTTTATTACGAAGAAACCTGAAATATGCGGCCGCAATGATCTTATGCTTTGAAGTCATTTATTTGAGATATTATTCCAAGATTTATAAAAAAAATAGTTTACTTCTAGAACTACAATCCTTTAAGTTCATAAGGAGTGTTTTTTCTCTTAAATAAACAATATTTCGTTTTATGTAGAAGTCTATTTTTTATATTTATCTTTTTTATTATTATTATAATTATTATTGTTGTTGTTATTATTATTTTTAAAGCTCTGATTTCTTATACCCGGCGTATAACGCGCACCTGTAAATTTCGATCTTATTTTTATGTTAAAAGTGGGTGTTATATGCGGATTTTACGGTATATTCGTTTTACCTGAGTGTTCTTAACAGTATAAGGCACAAACTCCTTTTAATATTAGCAGGAAAAACTTGTATGTTAAATATTTAAAATGTTTCTTATTAGTAAAATGTCTATTGTTTAGAAAAAAAGAGAAAAGAAAATTTTATTATGTTTCTTTTTATCCCATATTAAAGTTTTAACATCAGTAAATTGGATTAAATCATTGGATTTTTACAAAAATAATAAAATGACAATTGAAAGAATTTGTATTATCCCCTCTCTCCACCCCTATCTATAATTTCTAATCTTTCTTTAATTCTATGCTGTACTAAATGGAATTAAAAAGCACTATAGAATTTTTTTTCCTTTTTTTTTCTTTTTCTTCGCTTACTTTTTCTCTAGATTTTTTTTAAATTGTTAAATTTAACTTTATTTATAGATTAAACTGAGAAGTAGTTTATTTTCATAAATAATTTTGGAATCAAAAAACCATTTTATAAGCTCTGAAATGTAAAATAAATTCACTAATTCCTTTGCATAAAAAAAT